TTATTTCCAATAACGGCACTGCTTATTTCGCCTCACCCCCGCCCCCCCCCCCCCGCGGTAACAGGTTTTGAAATTGGTTGAACCTCAAAATAGTGGCTGGATTCGCCCTTGGGCAGGGGAGTAGCGAAAATTCTGCCCACCCAGTGAAAAATCCTTAGAGGAGGCCCTGAAAACTACCCCTAGTATTTTGATCATCCTGAGGCTGGCTTTCACCTAATAATTTGATGAGGGTCTTCCTCGTTTCGGATTGAGGCGAAAACAAACGTCAAACAACCTTGATAGTTAATTCAGCACTTCAAAACAAAGGTACACCTAGGGTATCATTACAATACCGGATCATAACGATCTGGATAGTTCTCAGCCTGTAAGCTAACTAAGCGGTAACTAGTCAAGTGGTAGGTACCGGAAGCATTGACAACCTGGTGACTGTTTCGAGACCCTTGTTTTGACACATAGCTCGTCAATATTTTTTACAGTGTATTTGGGGCTCGCAACCTTGATTCGTTAAAGTTATTTGTCTGTTCATTATAAAAGCTGTCAAATTTGCCGTATCATTAAACTTTTATTGAGTTTGTATTTCACACTTATCTAAAATGAACAATTTTGTCACTGGCTTCTTTTATGAATGGAATTGGATGGTCGCATGAATGAACGAATGAATAGCTCCATTTGAGCATCAGCTGAAATCAATCCTAAAATTTAATCTACCAGTCTGCAACGAAAAGGTTTAAAAACCAGTGCAAGTTAGGTGCAGTTTCTAATCTATGCCGTTTTTTTATTAAGTGTCTCATAGTTCCTTAATCTTGAGCCGCTTCTCTCACGATTCATTTTATGTGTTGCTTACATTGTTCAAGAAGTTATATTATTCGAGCTCGTTGGTCTTAAAAACTGCTATCGAAGTAAATTAAAGTGTTTCGGGCTTCGGCACTTAAAAAGCAATCGATATTTAACCCTCACCCATTTAGGCATTTCTTTTCAGCGTCTTACATGTAGCGGAGGGGCGTAGAAACCCTCAGCCATTCGGCCCTTGATAAAAAGAGCCAGAGCTTCGCTGAAAAATAAAAAAAGAGCGTGCTGCTCGTGACGAGCGAAATCCGATGATTTGAGGGTCCTGGTCATCGCTGACGAGAAAAAGCCAATTATTTGTATGTCCTGGTCAATGCTGAGATCCTAGGTCACTAGTTGACCTCCCAGATCAGGTTAATAACCCAAAAGCACGGAAAATTGGGTCCTGCTAGAATTTCTACAAGTGAAATTTGCTGGGACTTGGCTTGCTTCTGACTCCGAATTTGCACTTGCTTTGATCAAAGATGATGTATCAAAGCATTTGGGGTAGGACGGGTCACGCCAGATCACCCATTAGGCGTTCTGCCGGCTATATAGAATGTTAACCAGCACTTACAGCCTTGCAACATATTGCATAGGCACTATAACTGATACCTAAGTATGCCTAGTTTTCAAATGCTAAAATGGGTGCTAAATTTCAAACCAACACTTCCTAAAAACCACAGTAAAAAGGTGTAAATTTAAGGAAGTTAACCGAGATCATTTCAAGTAAATGACCTTAACCTGAGTTTCACGTGACCTTGGCACCCACAACAATTAATGAGACAAACATTAGATAGTATATTTCACATGTTGTCACGTTGCTAATCACGAAACGACTATGGAAACACACAGAAGATGTGCGCTGACTTTCAATTGCTATTCTGGCCTGACATGATCTTGAGAAAAATAATCACAGGTTAAAGGTAATTTGGTTCAGGGATTTAAAAGTCTCAGACAAGATGCAAAAATGATAAGGGCTATTTAATTTTCCGGGAAGTTGTAAAATTGATTAACTCCAGGGCACCAAAGAATCGTCGCAATCCTTCGCTTTGCCGCGATTTATTGGTGTAAAACAGCGGGCGCGGTCTACTTACCTCTACTTATATGTGTGGTGAGGGCTAATATTCATTTTATCTGTGTTGATGAATGTGCAACAATTTCTATATGAACTGAGACCAGTCAGTCCATATGAGTATGTTTTTCTCACGGACAATGACAATATAAAAACAATGCGAATAAAACCAAACGTTTCGGACAACAACGTGTCTTCGTCAGTGGAGAAAAATAAGTGTATAGGTTTAACATCGATGAGAACTAAATGCGACACCGTCTCGGTCTGGCCAGCCGGGTTGCCGATAAAATACACAAATGTTTATAAGCTTCCATGATGTGCTTAAAAAACTGCTGAAAATATATCTTTAAAAATAAAGATAACTACTTCATCGATGTTATCGAAAGAAAACATGTATGCCTAATTACTCATTTCTTGCCACTGACGGAGGTACTTTTTTGTGCGAAACGTCTGGTTTTATTCGTATTGTTATATTGTTATTGTATTGTCATTCCCTGTGAGAAAAAAGGATAACTCTTCAGTTAGTAACCATACCAGCGAAACGGCTTATTGTAACACAATTCACTGTGTATACGAAACCTATAAGTCCCTAAAATAATTCTATTTAGAACTTTTTAAAAGATACAGCTTATACATGGGCATACAATTTTTTCTGCATTAAGATAATATTAATTTATCTCCACAGAATACGGTAAATTAGTGCTGCTGAAGTTCGCTTTCGAAGCGTCTCCTCCAGACATTCCACAGCTCTCGTGCCATTTTGGATCACGGAACATGGCTGGGCGCAGGACACGTCAGGTCGTCTGCGAGCTTGGACGGACCACGTGACCACCTCCTCCACTCCCCTCACTCCCGTCCCCTTCCCCAGCAGGGCGTCCGATCTAACCGCGCCCCAGGCAGTCGGCTCGGTCCGACCCTCCCCATGGTCGAGCCACGGCCCGGTGCCGCCTGAGTTTGTGCCGGGTGCAAAACTGGAGCAGTAACTAGCGCCGGAACTAGTAGTCAGCACGACCATCGTCAGATGGCAGGAGTAAATGGAATAAGCGGTTCCAGGTTTCAGAAGGAATGGGGCAGGAAAAGCGCTGAAAACAATGTTTTGCTGATATAGCCATAAAAAGTTCACTGAATTAGGAGAGCAGCACATCAGTTTAAAGCCCTTCAGATGGTGGTTTTAATAAGCACACAATCATTTCCCAATTCGCCTCCATCGGTGTCACAGGCAAAGAATACGCTGAAATACTAGTGTGTACAGAAGCAACTGCGGGTCCCTGTACCTGACACCCTGTACCAGAGGCGGATCCAGCTCAGAGGTTTGGGGGGGGGCAAACCATAAAAATTTATCGATTCTTTCCATGCATCGTCCATAGGCGTAATGTTAAAATCATGCCGTTTGGGGGGGGGGCAAATGCCCATTTTGCCCCCCCTGGATCCGCCACTGCCCTGTACCCAATGGGGGAATCAATAAGTTGTATGCATACCTATATGATACAGCGTTATGAAATTACACACAGAATGTAGGTTGCAGGGAACAAATGCCACCACATTGCATCGCAAATCAGTCTAGCAGCACGGATACGCGGAGCATAATAGAAATAAGCAGAATCCAACCCCCTCCCCCTCTCCAGTGGGGTTACGAATTCGGATAAATACCCAAGCAGGGTGCGTGTTAAATTGCACACCAACACAAGAGAAAAAAATCTGAGGATATATTTTTCGGATATTAAAGAACCCCTATCGGGAGTATGCCGCCATCCCCCCCCCCCCCAGCGGCCAGTGCCATGTCTTTCGGAATCCGCAGCAGTGCCATTGCTAGCCAAGAATAGCTCACCTTTGCTAAAACTGGAGCTCTTCGAGTACCAAGACACCACTCACGATCACTTCTAACTCACTTGCACACACTTATACTCCGAACACACCCATTCTCGAAATTCGTATATGCATGGACGGAAGTAAAGTCCGTGTTTACAGGGACGTCCACGTTTTTCGGTGTCACGCCGTTGTCATTGAATTTTCGACGATGCCCTCTTGACATGACAACAAGCGAAGTTGCCCGCTTGTTACTAGCCCGATTCTGTGCCGAAATTGACGTGTTTAAGGGTAGAGAATTCGACCGACATACATGGACCAAAAAAAGATGTGATAAGGGTGTTTGCATGGACAGTGGGCGGAGCCTAATTTCTCTATGAGTTATTTTCATATATCCATGGACTTGTGGGCGGAGCTTAACACAGTCCATGTAAGCACGGTTTTATTCGCTTACTCGATTCGAAAGCATGAACCCGTTCTAGTATCACCTTTAATCGTGTTTTATCGCCATTAGATTGTATGTCATGCGCGTAATTTAACCCTCGCCAGACCTATTGTTTTTGATTTTCTACATACCGTACGACCCCCTCACCTTTTCGGCCCTAATAAATAACCTGAACTCATGTGACCTTTAGGAAAAATCCGAGATGTACAAGGTGTGAGGCCTCTAGATGATATTAGCCATTAGGCACTGTAAGTTTCATCTCCCTTTGAAAGCTCCTCTGGCACTGAGAGCGTTGCGAAGTTGCGACATTTTAGGACCGTGCAGATGCTCACTTATGTCGTAGGTCATTGACTTGACCTGACCTGAAAATGCGGATGATGTCACAAGATTCGGGTTGAATCAAATGTCAGGTATGCTAAGGTCCAGCTCTCTATCTCCAGCGTGTCCCGAGCTATCGTAAAAAAAAAAAACAAATATAAAAGGCGCGGCGCTCCCCCCCCCCCCCTACCATTCGGCCGGCGAGCGTTAGTTAAACCGCGCCTGACAGGGAGGAGGGCTATTTAGAGCCCCTCCCCCTCCCTACACACTATACACAAACATATAAACACTAAAATGTGTGTGCAAATTTTATATAAACAATGTGTGGAGATCTGATGATTGTTCGGAATGATGAACTCGAGTGAAGCGTGAATTGTCGGCACCGATCACCCCGTCAAAAAGCAAGAAAGTAGCTGCTAAAGAGTTAAACGAGGTCATATCACATGGGCATGAATACACTTACTATCGACTGTTCGAATTATTCAAATGTATTGCTTAAGTCTCGCTCAGCTTCCAAATTCTGCAGAACAGAAAAGACTCGGTTGATTATTGTTGCGAGATACACAGATGAGTTTTGAAATAAGAAAAAAAATGGAACGCTTCACACTATATATTATCAAATATCAGCCACGCAAGTCAGCATGAATGATCAAAGAATGATATTACCTGGCGAACTGAGAGCAAACAATTGCATAATTTTAAGCCAGCTGATAATGATTTTCTTCGCGGTGAAAGGTAATCCGCCTATGTGATTGCGTCATACCGCCGCTCGTCAGGTCCGCATGAACAGGGCCAGGTCATTCGTTCGCGCGCCACCAGCGCGAGCGGACGGCGAATGCCGAGCGCATCAGTTTACATAACAACTTTGCACATGTTGAGGCGGAACAAGCAAATCCGCTGCCACAGACGAGGCATCTTTGTCACCACGCACCTTCATGAATGTAGACAATTAACATGAGTGTATGCCTAAACCTTGAACATGAATCTCGAGCCGCAGTCAACGGCGGCAGAGCGCATTTTCTGGGCGGGCACGCATACGCGGCGGCTGCCGACTGTGCGCGCGCGTGGGGCGGTGGCACCAGTGGACGGGCGTCTAACGTGCGCGTGGCGGCATCGGCGCCGGTAGACGGCCGTCTTGGCGCGCGCGCGGCGGCGGCGGCGGCTGTCTTGGCACGCACTCGTCGGCCAGCTGGACGGAGTCAGAGCAGCCAGATTCCCAACCAGAACTGACGGTCTTCCGACCCAGCGTCTTCAGTACGGCCAGAGACAGACTCGTTGTCCAGCGCCTCAGTCTCCTCCGTCTGGCATCACACAGGGGTGGGGATGGGTTAATACAGGCTGACACGGGGAGTAGTTAGGTTTAATACCGATCTGGCAAGAGACAGGGTACTGGGTCAAACACTGAGCTGACACAGGAGGAACGGCTGGGTCGAACACCGAGCTGACAAGGGGTGGGGGCTGGGTCAAATACCGATCTGACACGGGGAGGGGTCTGGGTAAGACATCAGGCTGACACAGAAGAGAGGTTAGATCGAACACCGAGCTGGCACGTGGGAGTAGTTAGGTCTAATACCGACCTGACACGATGGAGGGGGCCGGGTCAAACACCGAACAAACACGGGGAGAGGGCTGGGCGAACACCGAGCTTTCAACGCATAGGCGGTTACTCGACAGGCCGAAAAGGGAATGTCAGAGAGTAAGTCACCACAGGAGCTAATGCAAAAGGTAGCTGATATTAGGAAAGATAATTACTGACAGCACGGACACGGAAAAAGGCCAAGCTAGTAGTACGAGACACTATAAAGTATCACAAATTACCAAAAACACGTCGTTGGCGGTTCATGGTACGGCACATAATTGCCGCACAACTGCAATACGAGGCTCGGGAGACCAATTCCCCGCTGACCCTGCAGATGCACTATCAGCCAAGCCAGTTCAACAGCCATATCAGAGCGACCATGACGTACAGTCCACAGCAGAAGTAATGTGGGGTTTCAGTCATGGGTATGTTCTGCTTATGAAGCTTAGGAACGATTAGCCAGACTACAATGAAACTTTGAATGTAGCTTATGTGTATCGTCACCCTTGCAGCTGCAACTTTAGCTATTGACATCTTCTTTTCGATCACTCCGCATTAAACAATCGCCAGTCAAAGCCAACCGTTGAGATTGGTAAAACCCTACATTACTTTAGCGGTGGGCTGTACATAGCTTCCATCGGTACCCCCCCCCCCCCCCACCTAGTACCCACCTGTTCAGTATAATCAGCTGAGACGTAGATCAGCGGCCGCCCTGCCCGCAGGTGCGCATCTCTGGGGCCGCGGCCGCCGTCAGCTGTTGTGGTGTCCCCAAAGCTGCCGCCGTAGCCAAAACAAGGCTCTTGTGGGCCTTGTAGCCGGCGACAAAGATCGCCACCATGTTGTCGCGTTCGACATCGTGGGCCGCGCCGACGATGTTTCCCCGCGCACGGAGCCGGAGGCCGTAAAAGCACGGACACTCCAGCAACACGTGCGCCTAATTGTCTGCTGCTTCGCCGCAGACCAGGCAGCGGCCTGTTGGACATTCGGTGTCACTGCTGACTGCACTGGGCGCACTCGGACGTTGGCCTTCTTTCAATCCGGTGGAGATGCTGCCCCGATCATCCCCAGTGGCCCGACCAGCGCTGATAAGTGTAACAGCCTTCTCCCTGGTAGCACTCGGACAGGGCGGGGGCGCCGTGAGCTCCGCGCGCGCACTGGAGCATAAGCGGCCCGCCGGGACCCATATGTCCCAGTCGTCTCCATCTGGTAGCGGCTTGGACCGGGGCGGGGGCGCGGTGAGCTCCGCGCACGCACTGGAGCAGAAGCGGCCCGCCGGAACCCGTATAACCCAGTCGTCTCCATCTGGTAAGCGGAGCAGGGAGCCACCGCCGCCAAACCATCCTCCGCCGGCCCGTCCGAACAGATCCAGACGGCCTCATCCGGCAGCTCCCGGATGCATTCCTCCGCGCAGCACGGCCACTACAGATGCTGCGAGGCTGGCCCGCGGGCCGACTGCCGTCTGGACGCGCGCGCGCAACGGCGGCGCCAGCGAGCTGCTGTGTAGGCACTCGCCCGTCGGCCAGCTGGACGGAGTCAGAGCAGCCAGATTCACCAACCGGAACTGGCGGTCTTCCGACGCAGCGTCTTCAGCACGGCAAGAGACAGGCTCGTCCAGCGCCCCACTCTCCTCCGTCTGGCATCACACAGGGGTGGAGCTGGGTTAACACAGGCTGACACGGGGAGTAGTTAGGTTTAATACCGATCTGACAAGAGACAGGGTACTGGGTCAAACACTGAGCTGACACAGGAGGAACGGCTGGGTCGAACACCGAGCTGACAAGGGGTGGGGGCTGGGTCAAATACCGACCTGACACGGGGATTGGACTAGGTCAAATTTTAGACGCTTCTGTCACTGGCGGTGGACCTGCGCGTCACCCTCCCCGTCGGCGCCCACCTTCGGGACCACGGCCGTAGCCAGCTCGGCCAGCTCCAGGTCACCCTTGACATTATATAGCTTAATCTGAACACCAGAACACACAGGTCAGGTCAATTATCAGTATTTTGAGTAAATCAATAACATTTTACCAGTTTCCCACGCATTTACTTTGATGCACCATAAGAAGCGGCGGTTGCTGTGCACTAACGTTTTCCCTGTAACTACCCCCCCCCCCCCCACACACACACACAGGCCTGTACCTTCCTGCCGTCCTCTCTTCAGTTCTTGTGTGCGGGTTCCCTCGTCCGTAGCAAGCCCCCCCCCCCCCAGACCCGACACACCTGTATCCGATGGGCGTCCGAGCGCGGGACTGTTGGTGATGGCGACGGCGTCGCCTGTATGAGCGCGCCCGAACAGTTTTTCTCTGGAATCCCTTGTGCACTGAAGGTTCATTTTTCTGGAGGTCGCATCCTGCAACGAGGAAAAAATGTTAAAGAATAGCAAAATCCCAAGGGATGATGCATTACTTACCTATATGGCGGGCATCACCATAAATGTCATCAACATTTAACTGTCAAAAATGGAAATATGGCTTATGTGGCCTGCATCACTATGTTGTCATGAAAATGCCATCAAAATTCAAACATGACCATTGACCTTGAGTCTGAGTAGGAATCTTTGTACCGGGCATGAGCTGAGTTTCTGCTTAGTCTGAATACTCTGAAACTGGTCTTCAGCCTCTTGGGCTCGGCTGGGCTCTTTGACAAAAGTTTATCACATGAGCAAGTCTCTGACTGAACCAGTCAGCGGTCTCTTCAACTCAATGTGCTATAAATTGAAAATTTTGATGGAAAACAACATGCATTTCCATTGATATTTCACTTTTTTGGATCATTTACCTTTCTGTTCTCACAAACCGGAGCTGAGTTTTACATAGGCGTGGGGACAGGGGGAAAGGGGGCGACCGGAGGGCCATGCCCCCCCCCCACTTTCGGAGGTGGGGGGGGGGCAGCAATGTTAACTCCCCCATTTCTTGATAAACTTTTGCGCCTGTATATACCACTCGGCACCCTGAACAGTGAACACCAAAACTTGACGATTCTTCAGGTTCGGCTTCCCTTCGAAATTCGATGAAGATTTCCTTTTTGTATCTACAGCGTTAAAGTTAATGAGCGCAAATTTCCTTCACTCAATGTAGGAAACCATATCAGAAGCAACAAAAGAGAGGTCTGTTGGCAGTATTACGTTGAATACGAGGCGAGGCGTATGATAGCAGTGAAAGAAAAGATTAGACAACAGTGGCCAGAGGACCGAAAAACCCATGCTTTGCTGCAAATAAAATAAAAATAAATCTGCTTTGCTGAGCCGAACGCATTGAAAATTGCAGATGCTTTCATCACACTGTCATCATCATGTCTCCATCAAAAGTTACTGTCAAAAACTTATGGTGAGCATTGGTGAGATTTCTGGTGACCTCTAGGCTCTACAGTCTACAGGCTTCTGCACACACTGCTAGGGGCCATGCTGGTAACTGAGGAGCCACGCTTGTCAGTGCCCTTACGCCGGTCTCTAAGAGCTCCAAGTGGTCGATCTCTGAGGATCCCACGCAGTCTTTGGAGGCTTCACGTCGGACCCCTGGTTCTTAGGTCATTAAGGACTAAGCTGGTCCATTTAAGCCTCAGCAGTCAGTATAGGTCTAAGAGCCTCAGGTCGCCCTAACGGAGCCAATATCGATCTCTTAGGGGCCCTTTGCTGGTTTAGAGCTGATGCCCTAAGCTTTAAGAGGTCCCAACTCGAGTTATGACACCTGCTCTGGCCCCTGATGGCTCCATGTCGTCCTCAGAGGCCTCACTCCGACCTCTGAGGTCTCATGCTGGCCTTTGAAGGCCCATACGAACAGGTGAACCCACGCTGGCCTCAGGGCCCTACGAACGATGGCCTTAAGAGGCCCCTGCTGACCTCATGGAACCCAGGGAACATCTAGAAGCCTATACCGGCCTTTGAAGGCCTCGTGCCGGCCTCTAAGGGTCTTCTCCGAGGGCCCAGTTCTGCATAAGGGCTTAAAACGGCTGGCGAGGTCCTCGAGATGGCCTCTGATGGTTTCTGAGGGCTTAGCCGTCGGAGGACCGAGGAGAGCAATTAGATGCATCGAGAGTACTCCGATAGGGTTTTGGTAGAAGGGATGCAACTACCTGACATAATGACATAAATGACCGTGAATTGATCGACCTAGCGGCTGCGGAGATCTCTAAAAATAAGCCTCCAGGCTCTAAACAAGCCTAAAAATACATCACTTGAGCGGATCAACATTGACACCCATGACTTTCCACGTGGCACGGCAAGGACCGGGCCGGAAGTTGCGGGGTCATAAAAATAGGTGGAGCGGTGTGTTCGAGACTGGCGGGTGCCAGCGGCCGGGCAGCGGAGCAGCACGTGCTCCAGGACATAAAACTCTTCTCGGCACACGGCGCAGAGCGCCGCGGGGCACCGCTTGTCCAGGCACTGTTGGCCTGCCGCGGAGGGGAGACGGCCGATTTGGTGTACGTACTGGAGCGAGCGGCCCCAGTGGCCTGCCCTCATGTGGTGCACCGAACCGGCGTCCCCCCGGTCCTCTCAGAGGATGGGGACTGCTGCGTGCTCCCGAAGAGTGGCTTGAATAGTGACTCGGACCAGTTACTGCACCATTGACGCGAGGCCTCCCGGCGTCCCAGAAGACCCTGCTAGGAGCCGCCATCTGGACCGAACTAGCGGCCCTGGCCGGTCCGTCCCGCCGGATCCACCTGCAGTGGGTGCCGTCCCATTGCGGCGTCGACGGTAACGAGCGCGACGACCAGATCGCCAAGGAGGCGGCCGCGCTCCCCCAGGCGGCGGTCCCGGTGGACGTCGCTACCGCCCACCGTGCGGCCGTCAGAATGGCCGGCGACCGCACCACCGCCGTCTGGCCGGAGGGGGGGGTCCGGGCCCCGTCCACCCGGGCCCGGGGCCCGTTCTCCCGGGGGTCCGGACCCATCCACGGGGGGCCCGGGCCCCATGCACCCAGGGGGTCAGGGCCAGTTCTCTCGTCCGGTTAGATTAGGACCTCTCTCCTCCCTCTCTCTCTCTCTCTCTCTCTCTCTCTCTCTCTCTCTCTCTCTCTCTCTCTCTCTCTCTCTCTCTCTCTCTCTCTCTCTCTCGAACGGGCCCCTGACAGAAATTTCGGGGGGGGGGTCAGCTGACCCTCTGACCCCCCCTGGCTGCGCCACTGTCTCGGGTATTGGTTCATATGTATGGTCCGCCATGGTCATTGAACTTCCCAGCTGTTCCTGTTTTGGCCGAACGCTTGTGATATTAGCGAATTCGTCAGTTATTACTCTGTTTGCTGGACGCTCATTTGTCCCAGCTGCCGTCTAGTATCAGTAGTCCCCGACCGTCGGCGTCGCTGCTCGTCAGGTGAATGCCAGATATGGGCATTGGCGTGCCCCACTCTCGGCACGGAACATCTGCTCTTCTGGACGTACCTATTTGCACCTCCGATTCCGCAGGGAGGGTGACTGGGAAATTTGGTTAGCGTCTGTCGGCGGCTGATAACTTCGTCGGCGTGAGTGTAATTTTGATGGCTTGACGCCTTCTATTTGCGGTACTTGCGGCATGATACGGCCCGAGGGGTCCCTGCGTCAGCTGTTTCTTGTTTGACATGCTCACACCGGTGTCGATCCACTAGGTCGAGGCGGTGCCGGTGGCGATATCCCAGGCGCAGGTGCAGAGGGTTGGCGCACAGGATGCCGGCCGATTGCGCTTTGGAGAGATAAAGTTCCGTTATGAGCTTTTCCTGTAGATGCGGGCGGGGAGGCGGCAGTGTTTACACCTCTGCAGTGCCAGGTGTAGCCCGTTTTTGGCGTGGCCACCCAATTGGCGTGCGACCGATAAGAGGGGTCGGCGCTACGTCGGGTCCAGGTGGGGTAGGCCATCTGCCGCCTGCGCCCTGTTGACCCGCGTTATCCATGAATGTGACGGGAATTGAAGCGCCGTTCTTCTCTCACTTTTGCGTGTTTGGCTTATAGTCTCACACCAATATGCATGCCTTATGATTCTGTCAATTCCTGTTAGCTGTGATTCAAAAAAATGTGGCTTCCGTCACATTTTCACCCGAGATATCATGATAGCGACCAGAACAAGCAATGAGGCGCCGAAACCGGGTATTATGACGCCCGCAGGGACAAAGCGGCAAGCAGCACAGGTGCTCCGCTGGAACTGGGGGACA